AGGCCTCTGTTCAAAAAAAAAAAGAAGTTAGAGCCAACCTCAAAAACTCAAAGAGCCGCTGAGGAATGGAAAGCAGAACAGGAGGGAAAGCCTCCTCTTGAAGCATGCCAGCAACAGTTTGGATTTTGGTCTCCAACATCCGTCTGCTGTCTCCCCATCCCCTTACAACCCCCCACAAAACACATTTATCCAAAACAACCTACAAATATCTCTACCAGAATGTATGTAAAATGTTTAGTTCAATCAACTTACCTGTTTCCTGTCGGACACTTTACTTCTCTCCTCTATCCAGCAACCACCTCTGGAATATTCAAAAGAACACAACCTACATGAGGAAGTGCTACAAATAGAAATGAAAAGCTATGCTTTATTACTGCAGTCTTATGAGTGAAAGAGCTAGATTTCCTGACTCAAACAAAACAAAACATAGTCTAAAAAGTACGTTTAAAAAGCTGCCTCAGAGGGAATGAGGGGTATAAAAATGTATGTTGATTTTCTTACCGTCTCTGTAAAGATGTTGTAGAGATATCCTCTGCAGATTGAAAATGTCTGAAGTATGCAGCATTATTTTCATGATAACCAATGGTAGCATCAGTTTAAAAATTCCAGAATGAATTTTAAAATGAAACTAATCAATAGTGGCTTTGTATTGGTTTAAAAAACAATGACATGGTGGAATTAGCTGTGTTTTTGTACACCTCTGGTAAGATTTGAATAAATAGCCTACCAAATTATTTCAATTAAGTCCTCAAAATACATAAAGCAAAGTTTTGAAGACAGATTTGATTTCTCAGAGTACGAGCTGGAGATTACTCTTAATTCCTATGATAATTAACTATGAGTTGAGGCCATTTGTGTTTGCTTTTTTAAGGTTTATCAGCTTTGGTGGCCATCTTGGATTGAGCTGACTCCAAAAGTTAGTCATGATGATGATTAGGTGATGTTCCCTGTGGTTCATGAAGTACTTGTACTCCAACACACACACACACACACACACACACACACACACACACACACACACACACACACACACACACACACACACACACACACACACACAGATGCAAGCAGGGCAATGTCCTAAAGTATTTTAGCTCCCCCAAATCCTAATTGTCCACTCTTTTTCTAACACTGCTTCACTGGAAATATAGGTCTTTGACATTTGCATCATTAACCTCTAATCTAGATCTCTCTCTCTCTCTCTCTCTCTCTCTCTCTCTCTCTCTCTCTCTCTCTCTCTCTCTCTCTCTCTCTCTCTCTCTCTCTCCCCCCCTCTCTCTCTCTCTCTCTCTCTCTCTCTCTCTCTCTCTCTCTCTCTCTCTCTATCCCTCTGTGTGTGTGTGTGTGTGTGTGTGTGTGTGTGTGTGTGTGTGTGTGTGTGTGTGTCACTTCAGTAAGGTCATCCAACAGTTCACACATCCATGTCAGATTCAGGAAGAACGTCCCATGCTAAAATTGAGAGCTAATAGTTGATGCTGATCTTTATTAAAAGGTTAGCTGACCAGTTCTCACACACACACACACACACACACACACACACACACGCACGCACGCACACACACACACACACACACACACACACACACACACACACACACACACACACACACACCAATCCCTCTGCTCAGAAGGAACCGAGTGGATGATCATTTATCTCTTGGCTTACTGCTCTGCTGCACGCCCTCTTTGGTTCCGGATTTGTAGCAAACAGGAAGCAGAAGCAGGCACAAGGAACTTGGTCTCTTTGTTGGGGTGCATTTGTTTGCAGTCCTCACATGGCTCTATGTCTCCTCCTTTGAAATGCCTCCAGAGGAGTGTACAAGTTGAGCATGGCAGAAACCTCTGCACCACTGCTCACTGATCAGCCAAGTTTTTTTTGTTTGTTTCCTTCTACGTCTGAACTCTGTGTGACTCTGATACATTGAATCAAGGAACAACTTCATGCTCTTGAATGTACGTCGAGCCCTTCTTATGGCCACAACTGTTCCATTAAGGCGCTTCGGTGTCTGGGAATACTTTATCATATTTGTGTGTGTTTTTGGTTAATGCCCTCAGAATCAGCAGCAATCAAGTTTTGTCTGCAAAGGAATTCAAAGACTTTAAAATGTTTCACATTTTGGATTAGAACCAACGCCACAGAATTACAAGATTATTTTGATTGTTTATCATTTCCTCTTTCTGCGCCTGTCATGTCACTAGCTGGGTTCAAAGACTTTTCACACTTCTCAGACATCCAACACATGGCTTCATGATTTAAAGTCTCTTCTGTGTTTTCAGTCATGGATTTTAATTCATAGAACTTGAAATGAACAAAAAAAATTTCTTTATTTATCAATGTCTTGTTATGGATGGAGAGAGAGAGAGAGAGAGAGAGAGAGAGAGAGAGAGGGAGAGAGAGAGAGAGAGAGAGAGAGAGAGAGAGAGAGAGAGAGAGAGAGAGAGAGAGAATGGGATGTCACTTGTCAGCCCTAACCCTAAACACACAGGATCATATGTTGTCATGGTGATGTACAAAAACTGGTAATGAAGCAGTAAAAATCCAAAGAGAAACATTGGAAGATTTTCAGAAAGTCGGGGGAACTGTTAAGCAAGACTAATTTAAAAACGTACAAGAAAAGTGTGAAATAAAAAGGCTCAACAAGGCACTGCCCCAACTATCTCTCCTCACTGCTCCATAGATACATCCCTTCAATGACCTTGCGTCCCCTAGACAGGGAACTCTTGGAAGTGCACACTCGATACAAATCTAGGGGCGATCGTGAATTTCTATGGTGGCCCCAAACCAAAGGAATGCTTTACCTTTGCTTGTGAGGCCGGCACCATCCCTCCAGTCTTTTAATTCTTGTTTTAAGACACAATTTTACCAGCTGGCCTTTTCCCTTTGAGTCCAAAGTCAATCTTGTTTTTATTGTGATTTTATTCCTTAATTGTCTTTCAATTCCTTAACTCAGTACTCTGGTTTTCTTTTATCATTATTATCTTATCTTTATTTTTATAGTGTGGGTGTTTTGATTAATTTTTTGCTTGTTTTTATGATATTTGTTGTTTTATATCCTTTTTACTATGTTTTTGCCTCATTTTTACTGATAGTGTACAGCACCTTGGGCTACGACAAAGGTCCTATAGATATAAAATAATGATGACTGACAGTTTTAAACATCTGGATGTTTTAGTTCTCCACCCAGACGTTATTTTCAATGAACGCCTTGTTTTCTCCAGCAAGACAACAAAAAACAACGTCTGCAGTTTTTGAAACAAGCACATTTTAGAAATATTGTTGCAACAAGGCATCCACACGTTCCTGCTTCTTTTCAGTCTCTTAAAGACAAAACATCCTGTCAAAAAAGTCTCGTCAGTGGTTTAAACCTGCTTACGCCGTGTGGGTTAGCAACTGCTGCTTTGACATTAATGAGAGGTCAGAGGTCTAACTATGACCTCACAGCTTTGACAACCTGAGACAATCAGCAGGCCTCAATGGGGTGACGAAATGCCATCCCAGCGGAGGTCATTGTTGTTCTTGGTGAGTCCATCTGGGTGAGGTCCTGGTGACTCAGGGGTAGAGCTGAATCAGAAATTTTGTTTCATTTCAACAGAAGAGACTTGTCAGATTTTCACTTTGAACAGAAACATTTTCAGTCTCCGTTGTTTTGAGTTGAATGCATGCGTCTGTCAAAGCGTGGAGGAAAAAGCAGCGATAACGTTTGAAGCCCATTTCCTGTTCTGTCAGACAACCTTGTGAATTCTGGTGATAACATCTGACACGATTATCTGAACAGAAAGACTTAAAGGTTTTTTTTTCTATTAGTCCCAAGCAGACTTACTTTTCTGCTGCTGGTTGTTTCCCAGATCTCAGCCCTAACAAGCTGTGTCGAGGGTGATTAATGGGGGCCTCAGTCTGAAACCGTATGGGGCATACTTTCAGCACACGGCCATTTTTTTTTACTGCACCAAAGTCCACAAGTGGCAGGGTGCTGAAAAGTGTGAGAGAAGTGTTGCAGCAGTTATTAAAGGCTGTTTACAGTCGCTCTCATCGCTCCATCACATGTGTTTCACAATCTTCAGAATGCAGGAATGGACTGTTATGACTGTGGGTTTGTAATTACCACTTAATCATGATGTTATATATGATGAGATATTATTAAAAAGGGCAGTTTCACAGGTCTAGCCCTAAAGGTGTTTAATCGTTCATTAAGTTTGGATAAATTAGAGAAATGTTGTCTTTTTAGTGTTGATGGGGGATTAGAGGAGTCTATTTTATCCTTTGTCTATTTCTGGGAAAGAAAATGGGCAAAACCTCAAACAGATTGACAGATTTTTTTTTAAATTACACCAAGCAGTAGAAATCCAGTCTTTTTTCATAAAGACACACAGCACCACCTAGTGGTTAGATATTCCAGCAATTACACTGACCAAAATCTTAGTCACTTTAATTCAGAAGTAGCAAGTTATCAGTAATAATAGAATAATGTAGAGATGATGTCAGCGTTTAACACAGTTATATTTACATTGTTCATAAAATTTACTGACATGAGCATTTTTAATCTAAGCCCAAATATTTAGTTATTTACAAATTTTAGTAAGATTTATCACATTTCACTAAAATAAAGTTAATTGGAACCATGAGCTTGGCTGTCATTCTTCTTTCTGTTGACGGCGGTTTTAAATTATTCTCCTTTTCATGATAATCATTAAAAGCCCCCCCCCCCCCCCCCCCCCCCCATGTTATAATGCATTTTTGTTGTTTTTTGCTTTTTTCCAGACTCAGAAAACCTGGAAACAAATGTAGTCAGATCTTTAAATACTTTAGAAAAATGATTTAGAATCATGCTTTATGTCGTTTGGATGTCACATCAGTAGATGCAGAAGTTAAGATGCATTCAGACCACGTCATGATACCTCAGCAGTAAGAGTAGTGATAGTCTGAGTGCAAATGTGTGCATTTATCGCTAACATTTTTCTGCAAAGTCTTAACTCTACACAGTTGTTGCACTGTTACCTTGCAGGTTGTGGGTTCTACTCCCGGTTTGGGCCTTTGTGTGCGTGTGGAGTTTGCCTGTCCTCTCCGTGCATGTGTCAGTTTTCTCCGTGTCCTTTAATTTCTTACCACAATTCAAAAGCACACCTGTTGGGTTATTAAAACAACAGAAGTGATTTATCTTAATGTGCTTAATTTATTGTGATGTGAAGCTGTCACACAGAACATGTTGTATTTTTGCTTTACAGTAAGTTTTTTTTACGTTATTACATGTGATCAGGGGAAACAAGCCCCAGATGTCTATCAGCCAGTGGCTACAGGTTGTGCAAAATGTGTTTGCAGGGAAGGAGCAGAAGGAAGAAAAAAATACAGAAAGCTAAATAAAATATGTGGATGTTTAATATTTTTGGCATAATGAACTAATGGGAACTAAGATTAACACAGTTTTCGTTCTGACATGAGGTGAAAGTGAAACCTGTAAAAGATCTTTAACCGGTTGAGTTAATCAACAAAGAAACAACAAATTCAGTATATTTTAACAGAGTATCAACGACAAATGACATTTTTATTATATTATTTTAACAAAGAGCATACTCTTGGGTATTTTTTTATAAGTGAGAAATGAGTGTTTGGCACAGGAAACAATAACAATAACAGAAAATTTACAAATGAATACAAATAAATCTTCAGTATACAGGAAAAAGTTGGAAATGTACCTAGGTTCTGGTATGTTCCTCCAGAAACTGTGCTAAACTTTTAACTAACACTGAGAAATTCAGACAGAAACAGTTGATCTGCTGTTCTGAACACAAAGATGAGAAAATATTAAAAAAAACACACCAAATGATTACTAAACAAAATGCAAAAAATACTACAGCAATAATCGATTCAGCTGATAGAAATAACTAAACAAACAGAAGTTTTAACCATATTTAGCAGCTCTTTAAAGGTTTTATTTTATGGTTTATTTTTTGCTACTGATCATCATGTCAGCTCTAAGTTTGCTGCTCGTGTTTATAACCGCTGATGACGCTACTGTGATTGTAGGATTGGCTGCTTCAGACGCAGCTTGCTGCTTCCAGAGAAGATGGGCATCTTCTTCTCCATGTGGAATCTCACCAGGTGACCAACGCTCTGAAACACCTGGTCACGCGTCCGCACCTGGTCACACAAAACACAGGTGGACTTTAAAAGCTCAAACTCTTCACCTGATGCCTGAGTATCCACCTCCACGCCTCTACCTGCCCATGTGGATCCATCAGCAGTAGGTGTCGCACCGTGGCCCCCTCCATCCCGCTGAGGACGTACTGTCCAGAAGCTGAGCTGCTCTCCCGGACCAGGAAGTCCCCGCTGCAGGTGAGAAGTGACTCTGCCTGCTCTCTTCCCAGCCTTGGGTGAAAGGCACAAAGTCATCAAGAGAGGAATAGGAAATCCACAAACCCACACGATTAAAGTTTTACTTTTACCAGTACGGATAAAAGGTTACCCACCTGCCATGGAACCATCCTTCTTCCTGGATTAAATTCTGTACTTGGGTCTCAAAGAGGGGCTGTTCAGGACTGAACACAGACTGCAGTGGGTCTGGTGAGGATAAAATCCAGAAGGGATATCAGCAGAGTACTAAGGTACACTGAAACATTGTAATATTTATTCATTAGCAAAAAATGTACTCAAACTAAGGAAACTGCATTTAAATCGGCTTCAGCTCTAGCTTATAGCTGAACTAAAACCAGCTGTTCCACAGCTGCAGTTCTAACATCTAATCGTAGTTTTTGCATTCAAATGTTTTAGTGCTTATTCAAAAGCATCATCTGCAAAAACCGGGCATTAGCTTCAAAGGTTTTAGATTAGTGTGTCCAGATGTACCCAATATGTGGATATTTGTCCAAAAACTGACATCATTAGCATAGAAAATTAACAAATAGGTCATATTGAGTATTAAGTAGTTGTTTGAACAGCTGTAATTGTGAACAACAGTGTTTATATCACCCAAATAATAAAAAAAAGATTTTTTCACTATTTTTCTAAATTAAAGACAAGTAGGCCTACAATAAATATGTGAAGAACAAACCCCATACTGATTTTCAATGGGTTTGATAGAATACTAGTCTCATATATAAATATTCAGTGCAAAATTCCTGTTTTTATCTTTATATTTATTTATTAATACAAGCAGCCATTAAATGATTATTTCTGAATTATAAGAAGGCTGTTTTAAAAAAGGAAAGTGAAAATCATCTCATATCAATGTTTTGCATTAAACTGGATAGTTCTGCTAAAGTAAAGATCGATTTAAAACAGATGTAGTAAAATATATATATATATATATATATATATATATATATATATATATATATATATATATTTATATAATAATGCCTTGAACTTATATAGCGCTTTTCTAGACACCCAAAGACGCTTTCACACACTCTCACATTCACACACTGCTAGTGATGGTAAGCTACTTGTAGCCACAGCCGCCCTGAGGAGGTCTGACAGAGGCGAGGCTGCCATTTGGTGTCGTCGGCCCCTCTGACCACCACTAACACAGGCACGTTGGGTGAAGTGTCTTGCCCAAGGACACAACAGCAGGATACCCCTGGCGGGAGCTGGACTCGAGCACATGACCCTCCGATCATGAGGCAACCCGCTCTACCACCTGAGCTACTGCTGCCCCAAAAATATATATCTATATATATATATATGTGTGTGTGTGTGTGTATATATATATATATATATATATATATATATATATATATATATATATATATATATATATATTTATATATATTATTATTATTATTATTATTATTATTATTATTAATTTGTTTATTTTTTTGAGTAATTTTAACACCACAGCAGCAGTGATGACTAATTCGAGTTGTACTGAGTTCCTGATGGAAGACATTCGAATCTGACTGATTTAATAGATTTTATTTGCAGCAATCAATACCATTAAATTAATCAAAATAATTTATGAAACTATAAATTAATTACGTTTTATTAATTTTAAAGGAAATAAAAAAACAACCACATCTGCTGCACCAATGCATTAAAACAGTTAAAGAGATTAAAATGATAACACTCTAGTGTCAAACAGTTGTCGAGTAAACAAACAACCGATGACGGTAAAGTCTACCTGCAGGTGGCACTGTTGTCCCCTCTGAGATGGAGCAGTTCTCATACTGAGAAACGGGCAAAGACAGGCAGACCTGCAACAGCACCAGATGAGTCATACAAGCCAAACATGACACATATTTTTATTTGTGTGTGTGTGTGTGTGTGTGTGTGTGTGTGTGTGTGTGTGTGTGTGTGTGTGTGTGTGTGTTCAGAGGGGAATGATGGCCTAAAGGTTAGAGATGTTAAGTCGTGACAAGAAAGTCGCTGATTCAATTCCCTGGCCGGCAGAGTGATCCAAGGAAGTGACTGAGCTCTGCTGAAGAGCATCCTCCATTAGAAACTACTGAGAAAGACATTTCCTGTTGGATTGTTTCTCTCTAGTGACAAACAGATGAAGTTCTGCAGTGAAGAGTCACTCTGAGGGGTGATTCTGTGAACAATTGGCTTTGATGAACTCATTCTGGATTTAAAAAATCATGACAACATACAAGCACAACATCCCCTGAGTGATTGTCTTCCTTCAAAAGCATGTTGTAGACCATCTTCACATCAACATTCCTCACAGCATGTTCACTTTAATCTACAACACAGATTGAGTAAATGTTTAATTATTATGATAAATGATCCTACATCAATTAATCAATTTGACAACATTTTGATGGGCATTTCCAGAAATTAAAAACAACACATTGTCACTTTAAAGGAGACAAGACTTTTGAACTTAACTTTTTAACTTGAACTTAAGTTATAACAAGTTTGTTAAGTTCTTTGCACCACATCCCTTTCACATGAAGCAACTTCAGCTGATTTATTCTTGACAGTTTCAGTAGCTTCCTGAATGAGCCATTTCAGGGTTCTGTCACTTTAAACAAAAGAAGTCAGTTATATCAACCTATAGACTCCCATTAATCTTTTGGTAGCAGGGGATTCATTGGAAGTAAATGAGCGTGACTTAGACTCCCTTTAAAGTGAGAAGCTTCAACCAGTACCTAGAGGCTTGAAGTAGAGCCACTGCTCCTCCAGAGGTGGCTCTGTGCTTATCTGTGACATTTGTGATGTCACAAATGGGGACTTCTTGTAACAAACCAAACACTGACAGAAAATGAATAAACTTTTTTTTTCATGTTTAGAGTGTTTATAGAGACAGTAGAGACCCACGTGGGAGCACAAAAGGTATGTTTTGCATAAAACGTCCTTTTAAGAAATGATAGATATGAAATTAACAATGGTTTTGGTTTTCTTTTAATGTATAGTTGGGTTCTTATCAGTCACTACTGTGTTGTTATAGCATTTAACGCTCACCTCCTGAATGTCAACATCTGGTTTGTTCTCCTCCCTCGACACCTGCAGGCCCTCTTTCCCACCAGTTGTAGGAGTCTTTCCTGGCAATATGTTGTAGTATTCCCAGTGCCCACTGCTCTGAGCTTGTTGTTTCCCCTTTTGTTCTGTTGGTGATCCCTTGGTGCACCATTTGGGACAGATTCTTGCTGTGGACCTGTAGCAGACATTGGAATGAAGTTCAGATGGAGTGCAGTGACTGAGCCGAGTCACCCTAACAGCTGGATGATTACCTCGGTGAGAGGAGGGTCGATGTTTGACTGAGAAGTTGTCGGAAGCGAGCCTCAAAGGCCTGGCCAATGCTACTGATAACCTCCCCGGCTCGACCCTGAGGACACTCCATGATGTGACAAACTATCAGAAAGTAAAACAAAAATGTTTTTTTTCCTAACGTTTAAACTGGAATTTCACTAGAATAATTTAAAAAAAGGCCTTACCTCTTTTATTGATGAAGTCCTTTGCCACATAAGCAATGTAATCAGCCATAACCTGTGATTGAATTGAGAGTTTAATTGTTATAATACATTTTTAATTGAATTAATTTAGTTGTTTGAAAAACAGAAAAGGGGAATGAAGAGGTGTAGCATTGAAACCAGTGAAGTCGGTCCTTGTTTACTTTCAAGTAAACAATAAAAAGTGGATAAAAAATATTCTCCTTTTGACTGAAATCTGCATCACAAGCTTTTCTCAGAGTCTTAGAAAATAAGCAGTCTCATTTTTAACAATCCAAAAGGTATTTTTTAAACTTATTTCTACTTTTCTTTGGAAGTTTTGTTTAAAATTTCCTCGACTTCTGAATATTTAAAGCTTGAACGTTGAAGCTTGGCCTGTTTGCTTGATGGAGGCACAGAAAACACTACAGATGCTCTCAGTTAAAGGTCGCAGCGTGAACTCTTTTTTTGATTAATAACCTCCCCATCGATCTAACACGCATGCAAAAGCAGAGTCAGGGGATTTTTTTTCCTACAAAGTCATTGTTAATAGATAATACCCTCAGCTCATATGACAAAGCCAACTGAGCAAAGTTTTATAGCACACTTAGATTATTTTATCTAATTAATTACATATAATCCATCCTTAGCTCGGTGTTCCTCTGAGACACCATCATCCTGCTTTCTTTAGTCTTTTGTTGTTTCCACTATTTAATAAAATCAGATAGAAATAAAAGGGCCATCACTCTCTGTTTGAAACACTGACGGTTACAGGGACTGACATGTCCTGATAGATCTTCTAGATTGGACCTGGGTGCATTGATTTTTATGAGCGTTAAAAGCATTCAGGCTGGGGGACATTCTCACTCAGGATGAATGACCTAAATTCTGTTATCTGGAAATAATGTGGGGACGTAGCGAAAGAGGAGGAAATGAGATAAAAGTGATTAAAACGTGTCTGATAACAGCTGTGATGAGTAGATTTATTCAGAAGAAAAGATTTTGAGGTGTAATTTTAAAAATTCATTCACAACAATAATTTTTAATAAGAAACTTTTATTCGGTGCCTAAAAGAGCAAAATAAACGTGTGTTCTGTTAAAGATCAGGGAAAGCTAATCAGGAGGAATAAATAAGCTGACATCTATTCATCTGTTACCTCGTGTAGCCTGTAATTTTGTGTTTATGCTGTGTTCAGATAATTGTTCTTAGGCCCTGTCCACACGTAGCCGTTTTGGCCTGTCATCCACACGAAAACGGAGTTTTTCCACACGAAAACGGATCTTTTTAAAAACTCCGGCCAAAGTGAAGATCTGCGTTTTCTCCGTTTTGGGTGTCTGCGTGTGGACAGACAAAACTGGAGTTTTAAGGTCCGCAACGTCACTTTCCGCGACAAAAAAATGCTGACATCACGTGTGCGACCTGTGTTTACACTAGCCGACAGCATGGATGCCCTCAGAGCTGCGCTCGCTTTATCAATTGTCCAAGCGCTTTTTGCTTGTTTGTTTTTGCAAGCGGAATTACTGTTCCTTGCGGAAGACCACAGACGAAGGACGAGGTTAAGAACGGGGGAAGTACTGCCGCCTACAGGTCTGGCATGTCCTTAACAACGTATTTATCCGGGTACGTGTGGACAGAGTTTTTCTTTTAAAGCGAGGTGGTGTGGATGCAAGTTTTTGGAGGGGCGGATATTCGTTTTCAAAAACCCCGGCTACGTGTGGACTAGGCCTCAGTTCCCCAACGACTTCAGAAACATTCATGTTGTTTCTTCAAATTCTTCCTACATTTATCGAGGACATTTTATGACTTTTTTCAAAAGTAACAACAGGTCTGTGTTCTATATCAGCGATATGAAATTTAGATTTATAAAATCCCAATAACACACCCTACATTATTGTTACGTCCTCTATCGGTGGATAAGGAGAAGGACAGGGAGTAACACAGAGGCATCTGTTTCAGGTGTTAAAATTGTAAACAATGATTTTATTAAAAGGATTTTTATATGACAAAAAGCTCCAAATCTAAAGTACTTAAAACACATGGTTAAAATGACCATGGGTTTATGTTTAAAACAGACATCCGAATGCTCCCAAACACTCACACAAAGTCCACTGACTATACACAAGTTTAGGAGCCAAGAGGAAACCAGCACTCTGGTCCCTCGTCTGTTAAAAACCTCTAAAAGTCGTTAAGCTTCACCAAGCTTAAGCGACTAAAACCCATTTAAAAGCCATTAGAACACAAACAATAGGAGCACATGAGAGAACTGGCATGGATCCAGTCTCTCCTTCCTTCTGGCAGCTCTCCCTTATATGCTGCTCCGGAGGTGATCAGCCCAAGTGAGTGCAGCTGTGCAGGTAGGAGGAGGAGGCAATGCACTGATTGTCCTCTGCAGAGTCAGCTTTCTGGGACAAAACAGCAACAGCTGTAACAATTACAATCAAAACTCCACATAAAAGTTATAAATCTGTGTGTCTGTAAATGATCACATTTGATGTCTGCATGCGTGTAGGAGCTGGGTTAGAGTCCTGGCTTGTCATGGACACGAGCAAGGGGGTCCTCAAGCAAAAAGGTTTGGAACTACTGTATAACAAACATGTTCATGAAGATTTTTGCACAAAATTTCTCCCACAGGAAGCAATTTCAGCAGATTTATTCTTGACAGTTCCAGTACCCTGCAGAATGAACCATTTCAGGGCTCTATCACTAAGAGATAAGTGCTTTGACCCCCTCCCAGTCTTCTGTATTTTCAAACCCAAAACTTGACAGATATGGTCAGGTTCAATCGTTTCTTCAGCAGTGGTCTCTCGTACAAATGAATGTCTTGTGAGTCTCTGTGGGAATAAAGCTCTGATGCTCCTGTTTAGAACTTAGGCACAGCAAATATAACTAAATAACACAAGCCTGAAGGAGTTATGCCATGTGGTGGAGTTGCTAATGCTAATGGTTTGCATCCACTAGCCGAGATGCACTCTGTTCTCTCCTGAACACTAACAGGGTTTCCCCAGCACTCCATAAGCCCAGTGGGCCATTAGGCCTTGCTTGACCCCCGCCAGGCCAAGTGTCCCCCCCCCCCCCACCCACCCCCACTCGCTGTCAAAGACGTTGCACGGTAGCAAAACGATTCTCGCGCACACACACCCTGCTCTCATGGTCCGCCAGGCTTAGCAAGTTTTCTGGGAGCAACCGTGGCTAACTAAATACAACCTTCCCCATCATGAGCCAAAACGGGTTAGTCCATGAATAATAATTTTGCATTGTCATTGGCATCTATTTTCTATCAGAAGCTAATACGGGAAAAAGGACTTTAAGATTATTTTCACATTTTGCTTCATGTTAAACTCAGATTGACTGACCCTATTTTAAAAGTAATAAAAAAAATGGTTTCTGTGTAAACTTGGAAGCTGGATCTGGCCACACCCACCCACTCAGGCTGCTATAAGCTGAGAAGCTCTGATATCCAGGAGGGACTTGCAGTACAGGCTCCTCAATCAGCAGCTCTCTCCTGCACAGGAGAGGTGGTTCAGTGCTAGTTTTCTTGTTTGTGGCGTCACATACGGGGAATTTTTGAAACGGTTTCTTTTGATCTCATAATCCCTAAAACCAAACACTAACAGGAAACAGGTGTACGTTTTGTTCTGTGTTTGGAGGGTAGAAGCTGTAGAGAGCTACGTGGCAGCACAAAAGGATGCAAAAGGTGAGCTTAGATGTCCCTGAAGAAAATAAGAACACATTGTATGACATTGGAAAACTCCCAGATCTGATTGTTGTTTTCCTAATTTCATTAATCTCTTAATAAAGCATGATCTTGATAAAGATGAATTTGTAATAATTCCAATGATTATTATGTTTTTAACAGAAACTTTATAAAATATTTGCTTGTTTGTGACTGACATCTCATTTAAATGGGATTTAAAATAAGAAATAAGTTTTTAAAGTGGAAAATAATTTACTGTATTTAAAATGGTAACACAGTTCAGCTGAACTTGTTTGTTCATGGGAAACCTTTGAATGCACCAACGTACAGGGTCTCCTCCAGAAGCAAAGGAAATGGCTTGCATGGGATGGTGGGCAATCTTCTATGGAAGAGAACAGAGGAGACGACATAGAGAACTGGGTGTTTTTTAGGGTTCTCTCAGTATTTCAGATGTGTGTCAGGTATAATGTGGGTTGTGTGTGTTAAGACCGTTACCTGTAAGGACGAGGCTGTGATCAGAGTCAGACTGTCTGTGGAGACGGTGAGGATGGCTCTGCTCCCAGAAAACTGCATGTTGATCTGACCCAGAACAGCAGACACTCCACTGTTCAGAGGCTGATGACGAAGGAAATCCCATTTACTCCAGTAATGCTTCTGCTGATTGCAGCGTGTGTGTGTGTGTGTGTGTGTGTGTGTGTGTGTCTTACCCTTTTATTTTTCACTGCTGTTTTCACTGTTGTCCTCTCACATAATCGGCTGATTGCCTCTCTGCAGCACACACACACACACACACACACACACACACACACACACACACACACACACACACACACACAATTATAAGCACAGAGATACCTTTGTAAATGTGTGCACCTTGTGACTTGCATGGGAGAACATGAGACGAAGGGAAACTCATTATGAGCTGCTTCACTAACATGTTGCAGCATTTCTCCATTTGATAATTTCATATACTGTAAATGATCTAAATAAATGACCTGCACTTGTTTAGCACCTTTCAGAGTCAGAGGACTCTATTTACTTCTATTTCCTTGTTACTAACTTCATTTCTATTATATTTCTTTCATGTCATCTATACTTACACAGTTACCTAAATGTCAATGAGGGGCGTAAAAAGACACACACACACACACACACACACACACACACACACACACACAGAAATAAAACAAAATATTTTATTACTAATTAAATTATTTACTAACCAGTTAGGAACATTGGCATAAAAGAATTCTGGGAATCCAGGAAAAATCTTGTTACACTAGAGATAGCATAAATCATGTAGCTAGAACCCTTGTACAGAAAAACATGAACACAAACTTCCACAGACCCTTTAAAGTGGACTAAGGTAAAGCACAACCGTGTTCTCAATCAAAATATAGAATTTAGTTTGAAGGTAATTTTCTCTTCATCTTCTTAGCTGATGAGGAGAGGGAAAACAAGAAAAGTTATCAGGACACCGCTAAAATCAAAAGACCATCATACCTAGAGCCATGGACGTAGTTTTGACTAGAAATGGGGGAGACACAACCGGCATGAGGACCGGGGGGGATCTTTACAGTATGTTCTAATGGGAAACAGGCTTCTACACAAATGGCTGTGTTCCACTTGGTCCTACACTAGATTGAAAAGCTCAACCAGTGTCTATTTAATATAGCGTAATATTGCCTATGGACGGTAAAAAGTGCAGGGGTCAAAACTTGACTTTGGAAAAAGTGGGGGGAACATGCCCCCCCCCCCCCCCCCCCCCCCCCCACACACACACACACACACACACACACACACAAATTTGGTCCATGCCTGGAGCAGAAAGTTCTATGGAGACTCCTCACATTTAACATGAAAGTTTATCGAAGAACAACATCCAAACAGTGTCTAGGATTTTGGAAAACAACGTAAAGTCATAAGAGACTGAGGGCAATATGGCTACACAACAAGTCTTTCTTGTTCAGGTCAGAGAGTCTAAAGTGTACATGTAGGTAGCAAGCCTCTTTTTCCTGGAAGAACTTTTCTTTTCCTTGAAAATAAATTATCCATAATGGATTGTGATCGCTCTCCAGCTCTCTTTTTAATGAGACCATGAGAGATCATTAGGAGGAAATTCACCTAATTGGATTTTCTGCTCCGTCATTCAACAGCCCTGTTCCTGTGAACAGAGGTTGTGTGTTGGCATTCTGCTCTAGGATGTTGATGACGATGAGAAAGCCCCGTTGTATAAAACATTATACATTTAATCTGATTTCCCTTCTTTGAAACATTGTTTTTAATAAGCTACACATGGCCAGCTTGGCTTATATAGAATGAATAGGGTTAAGTGGCGTTGCTTTCTTTCAGTGCTCCTCCCCATGGCCACTTTTTGTTATGGTTTCACCAGAAGTTCAGGACATTTAGTGTTTCTGCCACACATGATGCTAACTTGAGAAATAAGCTTTTAATTGTCCTTTTGAGTTTTCTAGTAAATTCCTAATCACTCTTGATGGAGTCTCCATGTGAGTGGCATCAAGTCATGAGCTCTCTTGTAGGTAATTCAGATGGAGAACAGGCTCTTATTTACTGTAGTTCTGGGATGGTGGTTCAGCCAGTAGCTGGAGTTTGACTCCTCTGGTGTACTGAGCCGATTGTCTGTTCATCTTGATTCGTATGGAACATAATAAAATGTTTAATAATGAATGCATGAATGTTAAAAAGTTTCTTAGACCTCTATCTCTTTAACAGGATTTGTACATTCCTCAAACTTCTGCACCATGGAATTATGTACATGTCTCCTGTCCCCCTATGAAAGACAAAAGTACTGTAGGTCATAAGTGCCAGTTAAATTTTACTGATTGTAATATTGTACATTTGTCCAATAAAATGTTTTTCAAAAGTATAGAGTACAGAGTCCCATCTAATTCCTTTCCATAAGTACCCTACTGCCAAAAAAGAAAATGAATGGGAGTCTATGGGCCAATTTA